CTTCTTCTTCTTCTTCTTCTTCTTCTTCTTCTTCTTCTTCTTCTTCTAGATGTATTTATTTTTTGTGTATATGAGTGTTCCTCTGCATGTACATCTGCACACCAGAAGAGGGCATCAGATCACATTATAGACAGTTGTGAGCCACCATGTAGTTGCTGGGAATTGAACTCAGGACCTCTGAAAAAACAAACAGTGCTCTTAACCACTGAGCCATTTCTTCAGTCCCTCAGCCACCTTTCTTTAAAAATTTTTTTTCATTCATTATTTTAGTGAATATGTATGCATGCACAAATGCCATAGCATGTGTGTGGAGGTCAGAAGACAATGTGCAGAAATCAGTTCTCTTTACACCAGGTGAAACCTAAGGATTCAGATCAAGTTGTCAGGCTTGCCTGCCATCGCTTTTACCTGTTGAACCCCGACTGTCCTTTACATTTTATTATTATTATTATTATTATTATTATTATTATTATTATTATTAATTAGCAGTAGTGGTGGCAGCAGTGGCAGTGTGTGTGCGTGCGTGTGTGTGTGTGTGTGTGTGTGTGTGTGTGTGTGTGTGTGTGTGAATGATGTGGAGGGCACGCATTGCCATGGCACGTGTCTGATAAGAGGACAACTTAGTTCAGCCAGTTCTCTTCTACCTTTATGTAGGTTCCAGGGACAGAACTCCAGTCAGTCGACATGTATGACAAGTGCCTTTACCTACAGAGCTAACTGGCCACCCTTTATCTCTTCTGACTACTTTACCCAGTACAAGAATAACTACACCAGTTTGATGGATTGTTTTCCTTTCTTTGACTCTCAGTCACACAGGGAGGTGTGTTTTTCACAGGCAACCAATAGTTGAACCTAGTTTTTTCAGACTTGCCAGTGATGGGCCTGGAGACATGGCTCAACAGTTATGAGTGTGTCGTGTGGCAGGAGAGATGGCTCAGTGGTTAACAGTACTGTCTGCCCAGAGGTTCTGAGTTCAATTCCCAGCAACCACATGGTGGCCCACAACCATTTATACAAGGATCTGATGCCCTCTTCTGGTCTGCAGGTGTACATGCAGTCAGAGCACTCATACACATAAAAAAAAAAAAAAAAGAGTGTGTCCTGTCCTTTCAGAGGATCCATGTTCAGGTTTCAGCACCCAGCTGGGCTCTCACAACAGCCTGTATGCCCAGCTTCAAGAGTATTTTGGTTTCCAAGCGCACCTACACTCCTGCACATACCCATAGCACACAGACATCTGTACTCCCAGAAGTAACCTCGATGAGCTTGCTGGTTTACCAAGTTGGACTCTGGAGGGATCCTTACTTTGCCCTCTTGTCAGTTCCTTATCTGGGGTGAGGAGACACTTGTTCATGCCTCTCCAGGAAGACTGTTACCCAGCACAAATAGACATGCTGTAAATTTGTCAAAATGAAATATGATGAGTTAAGAGATAGAGATGCAGAAATGGAACACTGCGGATGTCAAAGAGAGCTCGGAGCCCCAGCCTTCATCTCTGCAGCTCGCCACAAGACGCAATTTCACAGGCTGTCTCGTGTGCCCAGTGTCATGCCTTCCTTGTCATGATTAATGGTTTACCCTGAAACTTTGAACCAAGAGGCTAGAGAGGTGGCTCAGGTGTTAAGAGAACTCTCAAGTCTTGTAGAAAACTCAAGTTCAGTTCCCAGCACCCACACTCTGTAAATACAGTTTCAGGGGATCCAGTGTCCTCTTTGGGACTCCTCTGGCATCTGCCCTGCACACACCTGGTAGAAAGACATAAATATGTAAATTTAAAAAATACTCTTTAGAAAAATTGTGATGGTTCATGGGTTAAGACCACTAGATGCTCTTCTAGAGAACCCAGGTTTGATTCCCAGGAGCTCACAGCCACCTGTAACTCCAGATCCAGGTCTTTTGGACCATCTTATGGTCCCTGCCTTAGGTGCCATGTGATCCACAACATACATCCAGGAAAAAAAAAAAAACAAAACAAAAAAAACAAAAAAAACACCTACAAACATAAAACTAAAAAAGAAATTTTTTTTGTTGTTTTGTTTTTTTGAAACAAGGTTTCTCTGTGTAACCCTGCCTATCCTGGAACTTGCTCTGTAGATCAGGCTGGCCTTGAACACAAAAGTCTACCTGCCTCTGCCTCTTAAGTGCTGGGATTAAAGACATGCACCCTCACTACCAGGCAAAATAAAAGTTTTAATGTTTGAAAACTGTGGGCCAAAATAAATTCTTCCTTCCTTAAAAAAAAAAAAAAAAAGATAGAAGGAAGAGGTGGGTTGAAGGAGAGTTAACATTCAGGCTATGATCATTAATGCAAGATTTGAACAAACACATTTTTACTTTTCTCATTTGTGGAATTGTCCTCTGAATACCTGCCTTGATTACTCCTCAATTTCAATTTTTTTTTTCTGAATCTCTCAGTTAAGTATGAATGCTTTAAATTTTGGTCAAAACATACTACACATGGACAGGCATAATGCACACACACACAGACACACACACACACGTACACTCACACCTAAAACAAAAGTCTCTGAAGCAGAAATTCCTCCTCATTTCCAGTGATGCAGCCTTTTGTTTGGTTGGTTTTGCTTGTTTAAGAGTCTCAGTTGGGTAGCAGTGGTGCATGTCTTTAATCCCAGCACTCAGGAGTTTGAGTGGTCTACAAAGTGAGTTCCAGGACAGCCAGGGCTACTCAGAGAACCCTGTCTTGAAAGAAACAAAAACAAAACAACAAACAAACAAAAAGACTGTGCAGTCACGGTGTAGTCTTGGCTAGCCTGGAGCTCCCTGCGTAGAACTGCCTGCCTCAGTCTCCTGAGTGTTGGGATTAAACAGTTGCACCACCACACTCAGCTGCCTCAGTTTTTGAAAACAACAGTTACAGGCCTGAGATGCAGTGTAGCATGCCTCTAATCCAAGCGTAGGCAAGCAGATCTACATAGTGGACTCCAGGAGAGCCAGGGCTATGTGAAGACCCTGTCTCAAAACAGAACAAAACACGTTATAATCTACTAAGTATATGTTATAACTCTTTCATAGGTTTTGATTCATAACATTAAAAATGCATCTTGAAGCCAGGCATGGCAGTCCATACCTGTAATCCCAGCACTTGGAAAGCTTAAGCAGGAGGACTACAAATTTGAAGCCAGACTGAACTATCTGACAAGTTTATGGCCAGCTTAATCTACATAAAAAAAAACCTCTATCTCAAAAACAACAAATCACCTTAAAAGTTTAAATGAGATAATCCATATAAAGGATTTAGTCCAGAAAAGGCTCCCTAATGGAAAAGTTTAGAAGTGCTGCTATGGTAAAGGAGTCTTTAAAGCAAAGCAGTCAGAAGCTGGCGAGTGACTTAAGAAAAAGGTTGAAGATGAGTAAAACATACAATACATCAATTTTGGAAACATGGCAGTGCTGGATTAAGACCTTCTCAGCCTTGATCTGTGCATCTGGATGCTTTCCTGTCATCTTGGGGCTCTCAGCTCACACATCCTGCTAAACCTCCTTCCTTCTGATTTTCTTGACATCTGTTCATTTGTTGCTTTCTCTGTAGAACTACTATTATCTGAAAACAATTATCTGCATGCTTATTGCTCTCTGCAACCTTTCACTGTGAGAATTGCAATCTTATCTACCTTGCTCATAATTGTATCCAGGATGAGTACAATGCTTAGCAGGTCCTGCAATAAATTCTTCTTGAATGAATCAATTACTACCAAGAAATAAATAGAACATTATAATCAAATGTTAATTTTGCTGACCATATATATATTTATATTATTTATACATATATTATATATAAATAAAATAGTTACTGAGGCCTACACTTTGTATTTTTTATGACTTATGAATATCCGATGACATGAGAGAAAAATAACCAGAGAGAAATCCTTGTTTAAGGAACTGGATATCTAAAAAAAAGAGGTCCCATAATCAAAGAAGTCTATTTGGGGGGCTCCTAGTTACTTACTGCTGAGCATATTTTAGTTTCTCTTTAATTCCTTGAGAGCACAGACAGCTTGTCGATTTCTCTCTAGCAACCAGAATACTGCGCAGAGAGCAGTGGGCGCTCGATCACTGTTTAGAAACTGAAAGTACTAAGAAAGTATGTGTGAAAATGAATTATGCTTGGACAGACTGCAGTTCCTCCCCGAGGCAGGAGGCGACGCCACGGCTGTGGCCGACTGGGTGCCTGCTCTCCTCGGCCCTTCCAGCTGCACGTCTAACGCTAGGTTCTCCGAAAGCGTTTGCTGAAAGTAGCCAATAACAAACTACTTTAGTTAAGGGGTCAGGCCAAGGTGCCCAATAAGCTCAATGTTTCTAGAAAATGGGCGGTGCGAAGGGGCAGGGCTGAGGGGAGCGGTTAGAGGTGGGAGTTGGCGCTGCCGGCCGGGCGGGGACAGCGGGCTGCGATGCGGACCGGGCCGCGGCGGTGACCGGAGCTGCCGCCCGACATGAACTCGCTGGAGCAGGCGGAAGGTAGAGTGTGTCGCCCGCCCCGTCCCGAGGCGGAGGGGTCGCGAGGGCGGCGTGGCGGGGCCGCGGCGGGGGCCGCGGGGCGCACGGCCGCCGAGGGGGCCGCATTCTCCCGCTCCGACGGGGCCCCTTCTCGCTGACGAGCCCGTGCGAGTTGTAGAGTGCGAATTCATTTCCATTTTGTCCGGCAACCCCGCGAGCCGTAGCCCTAAAATTCCGTCCTTGGCTTCTGGTAAATGCCGGGGTTTGCTTTTCGGCCTTCCAGAGTTTGAAAAGAAAAAGAAAGACAACCCCCCACCGTGGAAATAACACCCTACTTCATTCAGAGGTACGCCCTGTCAGGGCGCAAGGCGTAGGCGCGCTGCTGCGGACGGGGGATCACCGGGGAACCCACTCGGAAGATGAGAGGGAGTATCTTTGCACAGCCCGTTATCTGTCTTCGGAAGTGCAGGAAACCCACACCGCATAGCCATCAATTAATGATTAGAGCTGGGGCCTGAATTGGGTAAACGCAGTCAAGTAGACCTTATGGATTTTGCTGTTTCAAGAGAAAGTTCTTAGTTCCACAGAATTTGAAGTAAGCTGGGTTTTGGTCCTTTATTTGCAACTCCCTCCGATTCCAGCTTTCGGCTCTGGCTGAAGTTGCTGCTGGTCTCCCACATACCATTCTCCAAACTTCTAAGACCAGCCGGTTTCCAAAAACTGGAATTTTTGTTTTGTTTTGCCATGTACTTAAAATTGTCACTGTAAGCAAACAATGCATGACACGTGTAATTTGATGTATAACACCTGTAGCAGTTATTGATCTAAAATTTCATTCTAATAAGTTCAAACTAGAAAGAGTCGGTAGAGAACTGAACTGTCTTTACCTAGATCTCAAGGCTTTCGAGAGAAGACTTACTGAATATATCCACTGCTTGCAACCTGCCACTGGACGTTGGAGAAGTAAGTTGCCAAATGCTTTATCAGGGAAGACGACGTGCAGTCAATAACTTTATTCCTCAGTAGGAATGACTCCCTTTCATTTAAAACTTTTGACGGATAAATCCTCCTTTTAATAAGCTGTAGGATTTCTGTGTTCAGACAACTTTTAAATGTATTGCTTAACACTGTTGGCATTGTATTATAAAGAAGTCTTTAAGGATAGAAAATTGTGGGTTAGCAAGATGGCTCTGGTGGTTGCAGTTTATCAAGCCTGTAGACCTTAGTAGCATCTTCAAATGCCATTGAAAGGGGGAAGGAGAGGATGGACTCCACGAAGTTCTCCTCTGACGACACATTTGTGCTGTGGCATGCGTGCCTGTACATATCACATATATACACACACAATAAATATTTTTTAAAGAAAAAGAAAACTGTGACTGGCTACCCTAAAAAGACACTATTTTGTATGGTTGAATTTTTATTTTTATATTTCTATTTCATTTTATTTTGGTTTTTTGAAACAGGGTTTCTCTGTGTAGCCTTGGCTACCCTGAAACTCACTCTGTAGACCAGGCTGGCCTTGCCTCTGCCTCCCAAGTGCCGGTATCACTGTGCCACCACCGCCTGAACATACATATGTATTTTTAAATTTTAAGTGTGTAAGTGTTTTGTCTACATATGTGTGTGTGTGCACGCACATTCCTAGTACATGCAGATTCTAGAAGAGGGCTCCATATATCCTGGAACAGAAGTTGCCATGATTGTAAGCCACAGTGTGGGTGCTGGGGACTGAACCCAGGTTCTCTGCAAGTACAGCTAGTGCTTTTAACTGCTGAGCTATCTTTCTAACACCCCCCCCCAAAAAAAAAAAAACACCCACATTTTTTCCTATTTGTTATATGTATGGGTGTTTTGCCTGCATGTATGTTTGTGTACTACATGTGTGCAGTGCCCAAAAGTGCCAGAAGAGGGCAACAGATTCTCTAGGACTAGAGTTACAGAGGGTTGTAAGTTGTCACGTGGTTTTTGGGAATTGTACATAGGACTTCTGAAACAGCAGCCAGTGCTCTTAACTGCTGAGCCATCTTTCCAAGATACATGTTTTTAATTAAATGTTACAACTTTTATTAAAAACAATGCAATAAAAATGTTAGTAGCCGGTGAGCTCCAGAGTCAGTGAGATGCTGTGTCCCATAAAATAAGTTACACATTGACTTCTGGCCTCTACACACCCACACAGTGTACAACATACATGAACATATACACACATCCATAAAAAATTCCCCAAACAAAACACGATCTGCCTTTAAACTATTCAAATACAATTGTGTTAAGAAAAATCCTATATTGGAGCTTAAGAAATGGCTTGATGACCTTGTTGAGGACACAGGTTCAGTTCCCAGCTTCATGTCAGCCACCTGTAACGCCAGCTCCAGGGGATCTGACACCCTCTTGTGGATTCTGCAGACATGTACACAGACCCATGTGAACAACCTCACACACACATACATATTAGTTAAAATAATAAATCTTTTGAAAAAAAATTATTTTGATGTGAGGGGATGGCTCAGTGGTAGAGCATATCTTTAGCATACACAGAGCTCTTGCTTTAAAAAAAATAGCTTTCAATTATACGTATAAAGGTTATGACATAGGGCTGGAGAGAAGGCTCAGCAGTGAGTGCCTACTGTTCTTGCAGAGGACCTAAGTTTGGTTTTCAGTGCCCATATAGTACACAATCTTCTGAATGCTGCAGGCCCTGCGTACATACAGTATACATACAGTATACATACATACACTCAGGTGGTTATGTATAAATTACATAGATATTTTAAAAACAAAAGTTGTGGCATTTCCTTTAGTTGTTTTTTTTTTTTTAATTATATTAAAAAAAATTTAATTTTTTTTATTTATTTTTGTGTTTATTTATTTTTTATTTATTATTTATATACCTGCACACATGCCACAGCCCATGTTGAGGTCAGAGGGCAACTCGTGGGAGTCAGTTCTCTTCATTCGCCATGTGGGTCCTGGGAATCCAACTCAGGTCATCAGGCTTGATGGCAAATGTTGTTACCAAATGAACCATCTTGATGACCTCCTTACTTTTAATACAGTACTATGTTTTGAAGCCTGACCCAGAAAAGAGTTTCTTCTTACTACTGCCTGTTCCTAAATACTATGAAGGCTGCAGTGTATGATTTGAATGAGTTCTAGTTACTACCTCCAAAAAGGGCCACAGTCGGAAATGTGAACAAATATAAAGTATTGAGATAGCCAAGAGAATGTTCTGCTCATTTATATTGAGACAAGTTTTCTTTTTTCCCTTCGCCTCCCTTCACCCCTTATCATTTTGAGTATGGAATCTTACTGTCTTGCTCAGGCTGGCCTCTGATTACTAGGCTCAAAAGGTCCTCCTATCTCTGCTTCCCCAGTTGTTGGGACTATAGATGTGTTATACTCTTAGGAAGCTGAACTACTGAAATTTGATTTCAGAGCATAATCCACTTTTCAGTGCTGGGACTAAGATCCAGGGTCTTAACTTTGTTAGACATGCTTTCTGCGGCTAAACCACATAGACAACACAAAAAGAAAATGGTTTTGTTTGTTTGGTTGATTAGTTGGGTTGTTTTGTTTTGGTTTTGGTTTTTCTTTCATTCTTTTTATTTTTTTGGTTTTTTAAGACAGGATTTCTTTGTGTAACCTTGGCTGTCCTGGAACTTAATCTGTATAACAGGCATAACAGGCTGGCCTTGAACTCAGAGATAGAGCCACCTGCCTCTGTCTCCTGAGAGCCACCACCACCCAGCTAGGAGCATACTTTTTAAATTTAATTTTATTTTTTGTTAATTTTTTTAGATTTTTATTATTTTATGTGTATGGAGTGTTTAGCCAGCATGTACATCTGTGCACCACATGTGTGACTGGTGTCTGAGGAGATGGTGAGCCCCATGTGGGTGCTGGGAATCGGACCCAGTTCTTTTATAACTAGTGCTCTTAACCACTGAGCCAACTTTGCAACTGCATATTTTTTGGAGGTTTAATTTTTATTTTTGTCTTAATCTGTATGAGCATTTTACCTGTATGAATGTATGTACACCATGTGCAGGCCTAGTACTACAGGAGGGCAACGAGGGTGCTGGACCTCCCAGAACTGGAGTTGAGAACAGTGTGTGCCACCGTGTCCTGAGAACCGAACCCTGGTCTTCTGTAGGAGCAGCATGTGCCCTTACCTACTGAGCCATCCCAGACCTACAAAGACATGTTCTGTTTCAAGGTTTGACTCAGGCTCCAGTACCAGAAGACCACTACTGAAGTCAGGGATCAGGACTCTTAAATTATTTTCATTAGCTGTCTTAGCTGTATTCTGTAACTTTTATTGGTCAGATTAATAAGTAGTGATTCTCTTGTTCTTGTTTACAGAGAAGTTGCTAGAAAACCTTTTAAAATGTATGCAATGCTGCCCTGTCTTTTCAGACAACTTCTGGTGAAAGCACTTTTTTTTCCATCTGCTTCTTGCAAGTGTCATCAGCTTGGCTAATGTACCAATCAAACAAAAGCATGCATATGAGATCCTTTCTAATATTTTAGCTTTGGTTTATCTCATTTTTTATAAAAGTACCTGTGATATACAATATATTTCTGGAAATATGGAATAGGGAATTGAGTTTAATTTGTTTTTAGCTCAGAAGATAATTTTGATTCTGTTACAAAATACCTAAAATAATTTCATTACCACTATCACAAATAATTCCAGTCAATTAAGATTTTACTATGTTTCTGTTCTCTGAAAATTGTTTTTCCCATTTGTAAAACTATGAAACATACCTGAAATAAAGACACTGTCTTTATTTATAAAGAACGTTAGTAAGTCCTGGTGTCCTTACATTCTTTTTTACTATTACCATTTATTCTTCAATTTATTTATAATCTGTTTAGATAGGGGGCTGGTAAGATGGCTCAGCAAGTAAAGGTGATTGATTGCTTGAGTTCAGTCCCTAGGAACCATCTGGTATAGGAGGAGAACCAGCTCCAACAGGTACCTCTGATCTCCACATGTACACCGTGGCACACACACACACATAGAAAAGCTTAGTGGGAAAAACTAAACTCTCAGTTCTACTAGCCCTTTAAGTCCTTTCTTTAAGTCCCAGTACTGATGGGTGTGCTGCCAGTGAGACCACACTCATCAGCACTAAGCTTTAACTCAGCAGCAGTTGCCCGCATGGCAGAGCCACTCAGAACTCCCAGGGCTGCAGTGTGCTTCAGAAAGGAGCCTTTGTTTGTGTGTTCACAGTAGAAAATGGGAGGGTTTTTCTTTTCCAATTTGAGGTTACAGGATCTGCAAAACCAGCCCAAAACCACAATGAAATTTCTGCAACATAGAGTTTTATGTTAATATGTTGCCATCTGACTTCTTATTTTTAATTTAATTAATCTTCATTCTCATGAATTCTAAATAAGAAGCAGGAAGTTGCTATCATCCTCAGTTCCCAGGGTTCAGAATGTTGAAGAGTCCCTCAATAATGCAAGTCTTGACTCTTGATCCACTTTGTTTGATCAAGTGTTGCGTTCTTTGGCTGTGTCTATTAGGTACTGTTGGAAGTGGTATCAAAACATGAAGGGGTGAAGGGTGTGTTTGCTTACTAATATCGTGTTTATTTTTCACCAGTGCTTCTTATAGTGGTGTCTGTCTGTACAGCTACTGGTGCCTGGAACTGGCTAATAGATCCTGAGACACAAAAGGTAGAAATTTTGTTTTAAAGTCTTTCGCAGATTAAGACACTGGATGTAGTGGTGCTAATTCTGAAATGTGACGCTCTACCTGCTACTGATGATGCTGATCATTATATTAACAATATGCTCTGTAATCATTTGCCTATGGAAAGCTCTAGCTGGCTGTTTTGAGTTAATTGTTAACTGTCTCCATAAGAGAAAGAATCGAAAAAAAATTTTACTTCATCATTTCTTAATTAACTTTTTGAGTTTTTCTGTTTCCATATAAACATTTTTCCTTTTGTTTTATTCATCTAGTGTCATTAGTACCAGCTTTTAAAAATTGTAATTTAGTGAATTAACTGTTAATACCTTTCTTTATCCCCCCCCCAAAAAAAAAGACAGCGATAACTGATAAGCACTGATAAATTGATAAACATTACACCAGGTGGCCAAAATCAGGAAGGAAACCAACTCGCTTCTTTCTAGGCCACATAGCTTATCGAAGTTGACAGAATTGAGTTATAAATTGATCTCTCAGTGACCTGATCCGTAAAGTCCCAGTTAATTCTGTATGTTTTCATTGTCATTGAAGAGAACACATGCTAGCCCCTTGAGTTAGCAAAGCTTGCTTTCTTCGACTTCCTTCCACTCTTCTTGCCTGGATTTTAATATAGCAAACGCTGAGAGGTCTCCCACTGGGCGCTGTGCAGGAGCTTCTCTATACCAGATGCAATATCAAATTTCATAATGTTAGCTCTTGAAGGATTATTTGGTGAAAGCTGATAAAATGTTCTGAAGTTTCTGCCTCTTTCTCCTATTGCCTTAATTTCAAGCTCAGTCCTTTTTTATTAGAAAACCTGCAGTCTTGGGGTTGTCTTTTTTGTTTGTTTTCTGTTTGGGTTTTTTTTTCTTTTGTTTTGTTAATTTATTTTATTTTATATGCTTTGGTGTTTTGCCTGCATGTATGTCTGTGAGTGTTAAATCCTGGAGTTACGAACAGTTGTGAGCTGCCATATGGGTGCTGGGAATTGAACCTGAGTCCTCTGGAAGTGCAGTCAGTGCTCTAACCTGCTGAGCCCTCTTCCAGGCCCCTGCTTTTTGTTGTTTTGTTTTGTTTTGTCTCACTGCGTCTCACTGTCTTACTGTGTTGCCCTACCTGTCTTGGAACTTGCTGTGTAGACCATCCTAGCTAACAGGGATTCACCGGCCTCTGCCTCCACCTCCCAAGTGTGTATGGGGGGGATAGGGTTAGAGGCATACCCTGCCACTCCCAGTGACTCTCACGTTCTTCAATGATACCTCTCCCCAGCTGTTTAGTTCAGTTATAATTTTCAGAAATTTTAAAAATAGGCTCTCCCTTTTAAAGTTATAATTAGGTAGACTACATCTATAGTTTTGTGTTATATGTTGTAAGTTATACAGAAGGGGAAGCCTAATAATAAGGCTTTTGTCATCAATCTAGTTGTCAGTTCAGACAAGGGGAGAGAGTTTTCATGTAGCATCCTTGACTGCATGAGGTGGGTAGGAAAGGACAGGAAGCAGGGGAGGCTGGTGTAGTTTGTACTACTAAGAAGATTTTATAGCAGACAGGAAATTTGTGTGAGTTCATTTATAAAACTGATATGAACGCTTCACTTGGTACTCATCTGAAGGGGAAGGATGGAAGGAAGCTGGCAAGAAGATTGAAAAGTTCTATCTTGGGAAATGAGTCTACTTCTAATTGAGAAAAATATAAGCTGATTTCAGCTAGTTGAGATCTTAATAAAACGAAGAATTAAATGTAATCAGAAATAGGCCCAAAACAATGTAGTTAATATAATTTTCTAAATTAGATGAGAAGATAGCTATTAGCCTTAGGGTTGGCTCTTTTTACTTCAGTATTTAATAACCCCAAACCTGATGAGAGTTCTAACCAGCAATTGTGGCTGAAGCAGGAGGTACGAATACAAAAGCTAGGGAGAGAAAGGATATTGCAAACTCCTGAAAGAAGAAGGAAACTTCTGTTTTGATGTCATTGATTATTGGCATGGAAGGAAGGAGGCTAAAACAACTGACCTAATAAAACATACAGCCAGGTGTGGTGGTGTAGCCCTGTAATGTTGGCATCATGGGAGACTGAACCAGGAGGTCTGAGAGAGAGAGAGGCCAGCCTGGGTTGCATGATGAGACATTATTGCTAAATAACAACAGAAAAAAAATGTAAATGTAAAATATTTAGAATGTAAAATATTGGGACAGAAGATGTGGTTAGTGGGTAACTCAGTGTAACATGAGGACCTGAGTTTATAACTCCTACAATCATGTGAAAGCCAGAGGTGGCAGTCTGTAACCCTAGCATTGGGGGGAAAGCAGGATTGGTGAAGACAGAAGGATCCGAGGATGGCTGCTCAGCGGGTTTAGCCAGATTAGTGAGCTCCAGGTTCAGTGAGAGACATTGTCTTTAAAAATAAGGTGCAGGGTGATGGAGGAAGAGCCCTGTGTCAAACCTGTGACCTCCCCATACAAGCAAGTGCACACACATAGACTATACACATATCCACATCAAATACAAAGTACTGTATATGCTGACATTATATAGACGCCATAGCCATCTTGTAGAAGTCAAACCCCATGGGTCCAGGATAGCCAGGGCTACACAGAGATACCCTGTCTCAAAAAACCTAAAAGAAAAAAAGAAATGCCCTCAGATTTTCCGACAGGCAGGGTGGTCTGTGCCTTTAACCCCAGCATTCGGGGGCAGAGGCCGGTGGGTCTGTGACAAGCCTGTGTCACAGAGGCAAGTTCCAGGAAAGCTAGGGATACATAGAGGAGCTTGTGTGTGTGTGTTTGCCACTCTTGAGGAGGTCAGAGGACAGCTTGGGGGTGTTGGTTCTTCTCTTCTTTCACCATATGAGTCCTGAGAATTGAACTCAGGTTATCAGGCCTTGTGGCAAGCACCTTTACCTAGCCGGCCATCTTGCTAGCCACTGAACCTCAGATATGGTAAAGCGAGCTCTTAGAGCTCGCTTTTGCCTGTATTCCACATACTTGGGAGGTTGAAGTACAGGGATTGCTGTGAGTTCAAGGCTATTTTGGTTACAATGCAAGTGCCAGGTCAGCAGGGGACTTCATAACAAGGCCCTATCTCACAAAACAAAAAGAAAAAAAAAACAAAAAAACAAAAAAAACCAAAACAGATCTCTGGAACATTAGTTTGTCTTCAGCATCACCTCATCCCCGGACTATTTCCCTCCAGGTATTTTAAGTCTTCTTCCTTCATTTGGCCTTGGTACATCGTGTACCTAGTGTTTTCCTTTGTCTTGAATGTGCATGTGTGTTTAGCACTCTCTTTTTAAAATTTTTTTTTTATTATCATTTATTACAATTCATTCAATTTGTATTCCGCTGTGGCTCTCCCTCCCTTACCTCCTCCCAATCCCACCTTCCCTCTGTCTTCTCTCCCATGCCCCTCCCCTTGTCCACTGGTAGGTAAGGTCCTCCTCCCCTTCTATCTGACCCTAGCCTATCAGGTCTCATTAGCACTGGCTGCGTTGTCTTCCTCTGTGGCTTGGTAAGGCTGCCCCGCCTCAAGGGGAGGTGACCAGAGAACCTGCCACTGAGTTCATGCCAGAGAAAGCCCCTGCTCCCCTTATTAGGGAACCCACTTGGAAACTGAATGTATGAGCTACATCTAAGCTGGAGTTTTAGGTCCTCTTTATGCATTGTCCTTGGTTGGGGTATCAGCCTCTGCAGGGCTCCCAGGGCTCAGTTGTTTTTGGCTCTGTTAGTCTCCTTTTGCAGCTCCTGTCCCCTCCAGGTCTTTCTATCTCCCCCTTTCATAAGATTACCTGTACTCTGCCCAAAGTTTGGCTTTCAGTCTCAGCCTCTGCTTTGATATCTTGATCAGTAGAGTTAGCTATACCACTCCTAGGCTTATATCCAAAATATGCTAAACTATACAACGAGGACATTTGCTCAACCATGTTCGTAGCAGCTCTGTTCATAATAGCCAGCAGCTGGAAACAACCTAGATGTCCCTCAGTGGAGGAATGGATACAGAAATTGTGGTACATTTACACAATGGGATAGTACTCAGCTATTAAAAACAAGGAAATCATGAAATTGCAAGCAAATGGTGGGAACTAGAAAATCTTGAGTGAGGTAACCCAGAAGCAGAAAGACATACATGGTATATACTCACTCATAAGTAGATATTAGCCATATAATATAGGATAAACATGCTAAAATCTATACTCCTAAAGAAGCTAGACAACAAGGAAGACCCTAGGAAAGATGATCAATCCTAATTCAGAAGGACAAATGCGATAGACATTGGAAGCAGGAAAAGACAGGGAACAGGACAGGAGCCTACCACAGAGGGCCTCTGAAAGACTGCTGATCAAGGTATCAAAGCAGAGGCTAGCACTCTCTTAAACTATGAGATTGCTCTTGTGGGGAGAGGGCTGTGTTTCCCTTGAGTGTTTCTTCTGTGTAGTTACCAGTCCATTTGCTTTCTTTTTCTAGACACTTCATGTGCTTATCTTTCCATTCTTGGTTATGTTTCTATTCCCAGCCTTCTGCCTTTTGTTCCCTATCTTGTTCCCAGCATGGATCCTGGTGTACTCTTGTCCTTCTACATAGTCTTAGAATTGTATATATTCTACTTTCCTACAATCGTTTTGTTAGGCCCAGTTCTGAATGAAGCCATTTCTCTTTCTTGAACTCTAGTTCTTTACAGAAACCTACTAACTAGTTTTTCCTGCTTCAGTGTCCTGTGGCCATTAGAATCTTAGTATCTTCAAAATCAACTTCATTAAAAAATTTTCATATTTTTATTTTATTATTTTTATTCATGTAGCTTCAAAACAAGCCTCTTTTTGTTTCGAATAAACTTCATTTATTTAAGGCAAAGGTGATGGAGTAGCTGTAGAAATTAAGCTAACAAGAAAGGTAGTATATGCATGGAGGGTGGGGCAGGAGGTGAAGATTAGTGTGGGACAAGGTTATGAATGGCAGAGCTGGCCCAACTCTCTTAAGAAAGCTTTTGTTGGTTGGTTTTAATATTTTTTGAGAGAAAGTCTCACTATGCAGCTATTCCAGAGCTCCTATGTAGACCAGGCTGGCCTTGAACTCACAGAGATCCACCTTCCTCTACTTCCTGAGTATTGAAATTAAAAATGTGCACCACCATCCAAGCCTTGAGGAAGCTTTTTGACTGGGAGGTAACTAAATCAAATTTAATCTGTATTTTTATTGAGACTAAAGGCCAATGCCATGTCTTTAATCCCACATAGGTAGGTGGAACTCTGCGTTCAAGACCAGCCTGATTTATAGAAGTGAGTTCCAGGACAGCCAGGGCTACTTAGAGAAACCCTATCTCAGGAGAGAAAGAAAGAAACACAGAAGAGAGACTGATTGATTAAAGGCCTCATATTCATTCTTCGAATAGAGAGTTCAGGATTTTTTCGGTGGGGTAGTTTTCTGATTATAGGAATGAATTTGAAATGGTTTAGTGTCTAGTGTGAATGATATGCATTGCTGTTATCTCACCATACAAAGAAGATAAAGCATGTGTTTTGTTTTCATAGCACAACAGTAAAGAGAACTAGAATTAGAAGTCTTCATACCCTCGTAGTTTAGATGATAGAACATTACAAATTTCGGTGTAAGTAGGGAGGTAGAAATCAGTGTCCTGAGTCTTTATATCTCACACTTTTCTTTTACAGGTGTCCTTCTTCACATCGTTATGGAATCATCCGTTTTTCACTATTAGCTGTATAACTCTAATAGGCTTGTTCTTTGCTGGAATACACAAAAGAGTAGTGGCTCCATCAATGTATCCTTTACCACAGAGTTGAAATTTATTCTTGGAGCTAAACTGAAGAACTGTCCCTGGTACCTAAGTGGTTGTTAGACACTGTGTAAATCACATTCCATCTCTGTGACAAAATCCCTGAGATTTGTCTTGGCCCATGATTTTAGGGGTTTCAGACCATGACTGGCTAATTCCACTGTGTTTTGGCCATGTTAAAGCAGTAGATCATGGAAAGGAGCATGGGGTAAAACAAAGCCACTCACCTCACAGTGGCAGAAGTCAGAGAGTGAAGGGTTCAGCAACAAGATATACTTTTCAAAGTCATCCTTCAGTGACCTGCGTCCTCTGACTAGGCCCCACCCCCATAGCTATGATTGCATCAGTGGTTCATTCCATTGATGAAGTTTTGTCCCTTTGTTATTCAGTTACCTCAACATGCCAATGGCTGGGGACCAAGCCTTCAACACATGAGCCTTTTGCGGCAACATGTCATGTCTAAACCATCACAGAAGCTTGACTTGCAGTGGGAATTTTCCTTTGACCACACTGATTCAGTATAGCTGCTCGATGTCGAACAGTATTAGCAGAATACAATATGTCTTGTGATGATGTAAGTATTTTCCCATTAGAATACACTCATAGCCGGATATGATTGCTGACATCTATAATCTCTGCCCTTAAGAGGCAAGGGGATTACTTCAAGTTCAAGGCCACCCTGATCTATATAGTGAGACTGTTTCAAAATAACAAAAATGGGAGGGAGTGCTGACATGTTTACTTTTAGGAAAACAGACCTGTGGGTCTTTTGGGTCAGGCATGGTGGCACACACTTGTAATCTCAGTATAGGGAACAGAGGAAGAGAATCAAGAGTGTGAAGCCAGAGCCTGGGGAGTAGCGTGTGGAGCCTGGGGTTTCATCTCCAGCACCACATGAAACTAAGCAAGATGCTGTGTACCTGTGATCCTAGCACTGGGGCGGTGGAAGCAGGAAGATCAAAGTTCAAGGCTCTTAGCAATATACAAATTTGAGGCTAGCCTGAAGATAATACTGAAAAAAAAAAAAAAAAAAAAACAGGAAAGGGATTAAGACCAGCTTGGGTTCTATAGCGATATCTTGTCTGAACAAAACAAGACTTTACCGGAAACCTTTTAACCAGTTTTGTTGGCCCACTCCTTTGGCCCCAACACTCAGGAGGCATAGCAAGTTCCAGGAATAATATATGTCTTTCAGAGTCATCCCTGGATGACCTGTATCCTCTGACTAGGCCCCACCTCCCTTAGCTATGAGTATGCCAGTGGTTCAATCTATTGATGAAGTTTGTCCCTTCATTATTCTGTTACTTCAATATGCCAATGGCTGGGGACCAAACCTTCAACACATGAGCTTTTGGGACAACATGGCTACAGTGGTGCCAAACAAAGTGATAGGATTGACAATTTAATCTTTTTAAATTTTTATTATTTTTTAAAATTTTCAGACAGGGTTTGGTTTGTAGCCTAGGCTAGCCTGGAATTTACCATGTTATTCAAGCTGGTCTCAGACTTGCTTATCTCATGCCTTAGCTTGTTGATTGATCATGTTTTGCATTTTTTAATATATTCCTTATTTGCTTCTAGTAAAGGAACATGTTGATTTAACATTATGAACCACTAATTTTTGGCCATTAACTATGTGCAAAGTTCCAGCCCTACACGAATTATCTTAGTTGAAATTGCCTGTTATGTCTAGATGCATGTTGGTTGCACTGTAATTTTTCCTCCTATTTGATATAGACGTGTTCTCCCATCTTTCATACCATGTGTTGTTTGTTTCCCACTGGACTTTGCACTGTGGTAGAAGCTGCTTCTTGTGGTTTGTTACTAAATCTTTCAGCACTTCACAGGGTACCTGGCCTATAGGAGGCACTAACAATAGTGCACTAACACATCTGTGTAAATCTTTCCACCCAAATGTGGTTTACTTCAGACAAACCCTTAGAAAAGTTTGATTTTATGGTATGTGCTTTATTATTATTGTTCCAACTTAGTATTTATATACATGGCCCAGCTCTACAAAAACATGTTTTAGCTGAGCGGTGGTGGCTCATGCCTAATCCCAGCACTTGAGAGGCAGAGGAGGCAATCTCTGAATTTGAGGCCAGCCTGGTCAACAGAGCAAGTTCCAGGACAGTCAAGGCTATACAAAAAAACCCTGCCTTGAAAACCAAAAACAAACAAAATTTCTTAGAATATTCTTACCACCAGCAGTATGTGAGTATTCATTGCCCTTGCTGTTGGTTTACTATTTTTTAAAGATTTATTTCTGTTTATTTATTTATTTTTAATTTTATGTGCATTGGTGTTTTGCCTGCATGGATGTCTGTGTGAGGGTGGTGGATCCCTTGGGTAGTTATAGATAGTTGTGTGTTGCCATGTGAGTGCTGGGAATTGAACCTAGGTCATAACCACTGAGCCATCTCTCCAACCCTCAGGATTTGTTTTTATGTGTACAGGTATTTTGCCTGCATCTATGTCTGTGCATATGGAGACTGTCAGAGGTGTTGCTGGTGGATGTTGTGGGTGTGGTGCTGTGCCCTGTAATCCCAGCACTTGAGAGGCAGTCCAGATCTGAGGATAAATCACAGGGATCATTTGTCTCCTTCCACATCTGGGCCCTGGGGATATAACTAGTTGTCAGGCTTGTCAGAAGGGGCCTTTGTCCAGTGAGCCAGCTCACTGGCTCCATCAAATACCCCTTTCAAAAGAAAGATTTTTACATTTTTTATTTTTTGGATTGACTGTGTGTGCCCAAGTATGCCACAGTGCCCATGGGAGAGAAAGATTTGCAGTAGTTGTAGTTCATTCACTGCTTTCATTGGTTCTGGGGCCTGAACTCAGGTTATTTAGCCTGGCAGCAAGTGCCCTTCCCTGGTAAATCATGGTCCTCAAATGCCCTTGAAGTTTGTAAATAACTGATGGTGTTTTAAATAGAACTGTGAGTTGACTTTTTTTTTTTTTTTCTTTTCTACAGACAGGAAAGCTCATTTTGAAACCTAGACCTCACGTTCAATGACAGTCTGCACTATTGTTAGGAACCTAAACCAGTCTTCTTCAAATAATTGATACAGCAAAACGCCATAAGGATTCCTTTTGGAGTTGGAAATGTGATGGTTTAGCGACAACTGACAAGAAGCGTGCAATATTTGCCCAGATTATCTTGATGATGCTGACTGAGCTCTCAGCGCCTCAGTACCTTTGATTACCTGTGTTCAGTATTAGTGTCACTTTAGCACTTCAGCTCCTGCACAGAACTCTGCAGATGAAGTATGTGCGTATGTTACTAAGTTAAACTTAGAAACCAAACCTCATTCAGTTTTTATAATGTATTTTTGCAAACTGTTGTAAATAGCAAATCAATGCCAATGTTAAACCAAGATGAAAATGTTTGGACTTTGTTCTCCTGCACCAGTATTTCAGGAACCATCTGCTTGACATCTCCACCACTCCTTAAAACTGGCTATTACGTGTGCCTTTTGTGCTTAATGCCTCTTTCCATTTTGCTGCAGGAAAAACATCAGATTCCACTTAGTCTGAGAAAAGTCTCATCTCCATTATGTTGAAAAATTTATAGATGTTTTGACAGTTTTTGTTAAGCCCGATACTGGATTCTGGCAACTATTGTTATATTTTTCAATAAATTGTTTTCATTTAACACTAAATTACTTTTTTTTAAAAAAGAACTTTAAAAACACCCCAAAGTCTTCTGAATGTTCAAGTTAAATTATGTATTGTCTGGGAATTTGACAGTTCTTATTTTAGGTGACTGGATTTTACGCTGTGGGAGACGTGTTACACTGTGTTGTCCTGGTGTCGCTGCTGGGCTCAGTCCATCACCAGTCCCACAGAAAGAACCACACCCCAAGCCAGAGCCTACAGTCGCCGCGGCAGCCACGTGTACTACAGTGGCCTTGAAGTGAAACGGTTGGGATTGCTGTAATTACTTAAAGTACTAGAGGTGCCTTTACCTGTTTATTAGATTTTTGAAAACGTTAAATTATTTCATGAGGAATATTTTAAATTTCATCTAATATTAAACTAAATTTGAATAATAGGACAAAAACGTTTAACAAAGCTGCCATTTAACTTACGTGTGTTGATCTTGACTTTCCTGTGTATAAAATTGCATTTTCTGAATTGCAGCAATAAAACCCTCTGCTTCTGAGAGCTCTCTAAGAGGGTGTTCTATATGTTCTGCATTGTTTCATTTTCTGTAAATTTTGTAGGTAAATATGTGCATAAAAATAAATACTTTATATATAACTAGTGATTGGAGTTTTTCTTTGGTTTATTGTGTCTGCAACTAGAAAAAATGTGAAGATACTGACTTCATATATGTCTGTGCACCCCTCCTGTGTCTAGTGCCTGTGCAAGTAGGAAAAGGGTATCAGATCCCTTAGAATTCGGGTTACAGGTGGTTGTAAGCAATCATGTGGGAGCCAGGAATTGAACCCCAGACCTCTGAAGGACTAGCCAGTGCTCTTACCTGCTGAGCCATCTCCAGCTTCTCACTATTTTATTATAATCCTGTCCTGTAGACTGAACACAGTTGCAGGTATGGTAGTTCTAGACTATCAGCCTTCCTCATGTCTTACCCGCCATGGTTTAATAGCGCTTGGCTTTTACCTGGGAAATGCCAGTTTTGTCTGTTGTTCTTACACACCCAGATTGGGAATTTCCCCCAAGACTGTAAAGCTAGAGAGGATTAAGACCTTTAGTATTGGGGGCAGGGGATTGATTCCTCTGAGTGTTTGATTAGAACCTGGCTCTTCTCTCCTAGGAGAGATGTATCTGTATGTATATGTAAGCTTGGCCTATGTTTGGAGTCCACTATCTCTGAGAAGAAGCATGCTGCTATAGGGCGAAAGGTTTGTACTTTCGTCATTTCTATTCTTTCTATTTTTATTCATTCTTACATTTTGAGGCCAGGCCTCACTATGTTTCTCCTAAGTCAAACTTGAATTCCTGGGCTCAGGCAATCCATCAGTGTCCTAAGTCTTCAACTTGGGTGATTAAAAGGATGTGCTCCCAAGTGCTGAGATTGAAGGTATGTGCTACTATGTTTGCATAGGTCACGACTATTTTTAATTCTTTAGGTGTTTATTTCGATTTATTTATGTGTATGGGTGTTTTGCCTGTATGTATACACGTGTATCTGATGCCCACAGAAGCCAAAAGAAGAGGTCAGGTGGTTGGAATTGAACCTGTGTTCTCTACAAGAGTATCCAGTGCAAAGGCATCTCTAGCCTCAGGATAATTATTCTTTTGTTATTTTGTTGTTGTTTGTTTTTAATTTGTAATTATTTTACATATGAGTACTCTATCCGCATGAACACCTGCATGCCAGAAGAGGGCATTATAGATGGTTGTGAGCCACCATGTGGTTGATGGAACCTCTGGAAAAGCAAACAGTGGTCTTAACTGCTGAGCCATCTCTCCCAGCCCTTTGTTTTGCTTTTTTTAAGGCAGGGTTTCACTATGTAGCCCCAGCTGTCCTAGAAG